CCATAGATTTTGAACCAACCACGAGCGAGTCAAGCAATAACAATCTACAATCACCTAAAAAATTTAGATACAGAACATATTATTTAGAAAGGTTTGAATGACTCATGTCGAGGTGAAGGTTTATATTCCAAGAATATATATCCATCATGTAAAAATTCAAAATTCAAAAGGAAAATAAAAAAACATTGAAGGATCCGCATTTATCCAAAATTTAACGATGTGATCAAGCATGGTTTGCAAAGTTTCTGCAAGCACCTTCCTACAATATTAGTCTTAGACACAAAAATCGGTCACATTTTAATCTATGAGGAAGTTCCTGATGATGAATAAAAAATTAAAATATGACAGCTAACTTTTTTTTAAAATTAAAATAAAGCACATTCCCTTCTTTTCTTTTAACAAGAAAAAAGCCAATAATGAGAAAATAAATATAATTGCAAAAAATGCCAAAAGTAATGCACTCGCTCTGTTTTACTCAATTATGAAATACTGAGAGGAAAAATAATGAATGAAAAAAACTTTAAGGCCAGTTTGATTTACTGTGAAATATTTTTTAGTTAGCCGTAACTAACAGTCTACAGTATCAGAAAACATAAATTATTTTATAAACTTACTTACCTTCATTAGTAGACGGAAAAACCACCTCCCAAACACATATTGAACCATCTGAAGAAGCAGATGCAACGATTGCCACCGTTTCAGAAATCACATGTGCAGTAATACATGTGATGCCTTTCTTGTGTGATTTTGGCAGTTGTAAAACATTTCTCCACTAAAAAAAACAACAAATAGAAGATACAGCAGAACATTAAAATAGGAAAACGGTCACCCGATCCGTTATACACTAGCACATCTAAACAATCCACCTATGAACACTTCCACTTCCATATTGTAGAAATGTTTCACTTCAATACTCTATTCCTCCAATAAATGCAATTGATTAGAAAATTACGAGGCAAATCGAGTATACAAACTAAACAGTACATCCGAGAAACTTAATTGAGCATTAATTAATCCAGTGAAGTTTTAGAAAAGGTATTACCTTCTGGTCCAGAAGAGACAATTCCCACAAATGAATGGCACCATCAGCGTCACCAGAAAGCAGATAATGACACTTCAAATGCTTGGCTGAGGACAAGAAGGTACCACCATTACAATTCAAAAATAGAAAGAAAGAAAGAAAGAAAAAAAAAGGTCCACACGCTAGCTTTTGTTTCCCAAGTAAGCTACAAGGTGAATACAGTCCCTGGAGAAACTTTCTTCGATAAACCAAGGGGAAAATCCAATAATTATACACATTTTGACAGAACATACAAAAACTTCAGCTCACCTTTAAACGCAAATTTATTACTAGGAAGCCAATGAGTGCAGTTCACAGAGGCGTTGTGACCGGGAAGCGTGGTCAAAATTTGTGCAGACTGTGAAGTAGGAAAATTAATAAGAACAAAAGGAAAGAAGAGTTCAGCATTTTCCCGGTTATGGAAAATCAAAAGAGAAAGTGGCTCGTAATACGGTACACACCTTGGGAGAGAAAATAGCGACAGCGTTTTGAGCGCCAAAAGCCACCAAATCACAGGCTCCCCAAGAAACGTTGTTCACTACCCTGTTACAGCCTGCTCCGATAAACACTCCCTTGACTTCAACCTCGCCACCGCCGCCGCCGCCGGTAGCCATGTTTGCCGGTAGAAAGCTCTGGATCGCAAGAGAAGATGGCGGCCGAAGAGCAGGGCGTAAGAAAGCTTGCCTCGTTCAGGGCTCAGGCAACAACCAGGGACCGCGGCGGGACGAAGGTCGGCCGAGCAGTTAGAAAACGGGTTTTGTTTTGGGCCTAATGGCATCGCCGTTGCTCGGCCCTGTATGACAAATAATGGGCCGTATGGGCCCGCGTTTACTCTTTGGGCCTAGTTATTTAGGACAGGGGAGTTCAATAAATCAATTTTGAAAAATTTGTAAATAAATAATATAATTTACAACAATAATAAATATATGACAAGAACAAGTGATTTTTTATTAGTGAATTATAAATCATTGACAAATAAATTTTCACCATTCATATGTTCCAACAATAATCATTTCTATTTCGAGATTTTATACAATAGTATAATAATCTACCATGGTATAACACTATTATCATCGTGGCACAAGCCTACATAGTTTAAAATATTTTTCTTTTTTACTTAGATGTGTAATAATATTTGCTATTTTTAAATGTTACTTGACGTGGGATTATATATTTCATATTTTTTATGATTATAACCAGATTAAGGTTTATTTTTACAACTAACTCTTTACACTGTATGAGTAAAGGAGACGTCAGTTTGATTTTATTTAATAACTCATAATTGATATTGTGTGGCTTCGCTAGTTGGATTTCTATAACTGGAGGTGTCGACGGTCATCCAACACTATAACCAATATTGTGGGACTCGTCGCCGAATGGAAGGAAAGTCCCAACTTTATGGAAGAGTAAACTTCCTATATTCAGGAGAAAAACCCTATCTACTTCTCATTAATACACATAAAGATACAGAGAAACCTTTTATATGTGAGGCTGAAAAAATCTGGAAGCATAAGCAGTATTTACACAAGAACTAACTTAATTAATCAACTAATAACAAACTAACAAATGACTCGCTCAACTAAACAATAAAAAGCCACATAAGACAGTCACATTAGTGAATTTCAGTGAGTTGGGTTAACACGAAGAAACCTCCTGCCGGTCACAAAAATAGCAGAAAATAACCCAGAAATTTAAAGAAATCAATAAAATAAAGAAAGATACAAATTAACGTGAAAAAAACATAACCGCAATAGAAAATCCACTATGTGAAAAATTTTACACAAACAATTTCTTACGGATCTTAAAATATTTCAATAATTTAAAACCCAAGCTCATGAGCTACCTTTCTGTGCATTTTCAACGTGGGACAACTTAATCACACTCTCCCCAATTTGATTTTAATATTTTGTCAAAACCCAACACGACTGTGAGTCTCAAACTCGAGAGAGGTGTCCCATTCGACTACAAATCCACTGTACCACCATTTGCCGATAGTTAGAAACCGTTGATTATTGGCATTGGCATTTGAGGGTTAAAAAGAAAAAAGAAAGAAAGAAAAGAGGGCAAAAGGGGGGAATTGAATTATGATCCGGTGGAAGAGAAAGAAGAGGAACAAAGAGGAATGGGGAAATGGGGTCCCCTGGGGAGGGGTGTCCCCCCAAGCAGAAAAAAGCAGTCCAAAAAATCAACACAAAATTAAATACACGAAACCAAACCAAGAACACAAAACGCGGCACAACACAACAGCTTCCCCTGGGCTGAACAATCAATAATTATGAGCAATAATTAAGTAGAATTTGCCCCCTCAAAACGAAGCCCAGAAATCTGCACATATATCCGAATCTGACTCTTCACCATCCCCCAGGCCTCAGTCGGAGGGCTTCGAATGTCATCGGCATCCGACCGGCCGGCACGCATCTAACACACACCATCCTCACGACATGCCTCAATATATTTTCACATCACTTCGCGCTCCCACAATTACTTTAAGACATGTTTTCGACACCCCTTCGGCACGTTCGGACATGTCATGGCTCATGCAATGCTCAGCCCCAATTATTTCACCTTTTTTCCTTTTTTCCTTTTTTTTTTGTTTGCACAGAAAAAAAAAGCATTAAACCCAGAAGATCATCAGATGGGTTTCTTATTTCTGAGAGAGAATCTAACTAAGATATCCCTATTGTATTAAAATGTCATGGGTTTCTCTTTTCTTGTCAGAAATGTGTTTCCATATTCATGGAAATTGGAATTCAGGGTAAATTTTATTTCACTCATAAACTTCCTGAATTGTCTCTACTAAATTGCTAACACGTCACATGTAGTTGGAAACTACTAAAACAAAATATGTAAGTTGCAGCAATGTGTGCAAACGGTTAAGGATCTCGGTAATTCTTGCAAGTTTTTAGTTTTATACCAATAGAGATAATTGTTCTCTCTTATATGTCATAGATCACCCATTTCCTAGTCAATGTGGGGCTTAATTTGTATACTTTGCAACTCCAACAAACAATTCCCCCTATAACAGTACCCTCGTATCTCCAAGTATCTCTATAGTGGTATGATATTGTCCACTTTGATGCTTTGATTTTAGTTTGATCCAAAAGATAATTGTCCTCTCTTACATATCTCATTTCCTAACCAATACGGGTTTGTTTGCATATGTTGCAATCCCAACACAAACATAAATTTTCACATTGGTTAGGGAAAAAAGTGATCTATGTTACCATTATTGTGAGACCTTTTTTAGTGGATGTGAAAGTTATGTTCAAAACGAACAATAATATCATACTATTGTATAGATATTTTGGAGTAGCTGAGGTAGGGTTGTCTTTTTAACATTAGTTATAGTAATAAAAGAAGAGTGTAAAGTTGAGATGGGTAGCAAGGTTAGGTAGCAGAATCCAAAACAGCTTTTTTGTTAGCATAAAGTGGCCATACCATGACCCCTTGATTGGTTTTGCAAACAGTAGTGGTGGTTGTTTTATGGCATTTGCATTTTGCATGGCTCACACACACACACAAGAAGATAAAACAACCTCCAATCAGTAGTAATGGGAAGAGCCCTTTCTTGTCCCCCTCCCTTTGGTCCCATCTCCCCATATATATAATTGAATGAAATATCATCATCTTCAAAACCCCAACTTTAATCAACCCAAAACCCAACAAATTAAATTCCCTCTCTTTGATCTCCTCCATGGACCCTAACGCGTCAGCCCATCAGTTCATTCTCACCCCTTCTGCTCTCCACTCCGTTTACTGTGATGCCAAAGCATCAGATATTGAAGACGATGATGATATCATAGATTTGGGGCTCAGCCTCAGAACTTTGCAGCCAGATCAGGGCTGTTATGGTCCGCCGCCGGCTGCCGCCGCTGCACCGCTGCCACATTGTATGTATGCGGTGGCGGATTATTGTTGCTGCGGAGGAGAAGAGGCGGAAGGGGTGGTTGAGAGTAAGCTGCAGCGGTGGGCGTATGTGAAGGTAAATATGGATGGAGTGATTGTGGGCAGAAAAGTTTGCATCTTTCGACATTCTTCCTATTCTAGTCTTGCTCTTCAGCTTGAAGATATGTTTGGTAATTCATTCATCACTTTTTCCTTTTCCATGCTATTCTTCTTTTTTGTTCAATCAGATGGAGATTTAAATCTTCGATTTCAGAAACATCATTAGCAATACATCAATTTGGGTTATTTTTCTTGATTGGGTCTTGAGAGTATTTGATTTTAAATAAATGAGAGAATTCGAGACCATGATATATAAGATATGTGATCAAGCTAGAAATTTTCTTGAAATCTTACCTTTAAACATATTAACAAATTAGAGTACAAAAATAAAAATCTTTAGTGTGTAATTTTTTATTTTTTGGATTTATGACAAAACTCATTGCCATATCTCTTCGCTTTTTGTTTTGCCAGAGTGAGCTATTATCTTTTTGTTTGTTTTGGATTGTAAAAATTATACATGAATGTTAAAGATTTTAAATTGTTGTTTCTAAATATTTTTAAATTGAAAAGATAATGGATATAGGAAGTTAGGAGGTAAAAATTTACGTCATTTATAAAGAAATTTGACTTTATTTATTAATATATCTAGATGTGTAAGATCATCTCTTTCACAACATTGTATCTCTTCCTATAGAGTTTTGAAACTTTATGTAAGGAGAGTGAAGGCAAAATTAATTTTGGTGGGGAAGAGGGGACTACGATTATAACAAAGAAAGGCAAAAGACAAAAGCCCTTTATGTAGCATTCATCTTATGAAATAAATGAAAAAGGAACTACAAAATAATTATGAAATAATGAAAACAACAAATTATAAACAAGATCCTTTCTTGTTTTATTCTAAATTGTATTAATTAGCACAGCCAAAAAGATCTTCTTGAAAGATTGTCAACATAAGCTACATAGATCATCCATTAACGATGGTTCTTCTCTTATTTATATTTCGAGAAGAAATTGCTCGATTGGTCGATGTCAACAGTATATTAAAATCTTGATTATGTCTTTGTCCTTTAATTTAGATTTTTCCATCAAAATAATGTCTTTATACCTAATCAGAATTCTTATAATTACCATAAACGTCTTTGAGTGCTAAAATAATTGAGTACAAAATGGGCCTCTTGATCATATAGTGAATTGTCATGTTAGAATTTTCTTACTTGTCAATTATACTGGTAAGATTGACTAGTAGAGTTTAATTTGAATTAAATGATTGAGGTGATAATGGAAAATAATAATGTTATAGATTTTTCTATAATTTTTGCATCTCATCCCTCAGTTTGAGAGTAACTCAATGAATAAAGGGAGCAATTATCCTCCCCGTCGTCTTGATTTATATTAAGTAAAACACTCACATCTATGTTCAATGGTCGGATCAGGTCGACAGTGCGAATCTGGATTAAAGTTGTTTGAAACAGATTCGGAATATAATCTATTTTATAAAGGTGGAGACGAAATTTGGAGGAGCGTTGGCGATGTACCATGGAAGTAAGTTCTCTATCGTCATTGTTCATCATATATTTGTTCGGTTGACTCCATCAAACCGTTACATAATTTGTCTGTTTTTTGTTTGCAAATGGACATAGGCAGTTCGTAGAAGGTGTGAAGAGGCTAAGAATTGCTCGAAAAGATGAGGCTTTTGTTGTCATTCACCAAAATTAACTAAAATTGTCAAAATGCAACTTCTTGATGGAATTCTATTTTGTGTTGAAGGCTTCTTTTTCTCGTGGACATATTATTTGACCCTTTATCTAATTCTAAAGAACCTTTTAAAAAAATTTGTAAATTTTATTGCCCCTTTAATCTGGTTTTTTAATTGTACTTTAATTGTCTAAATTTTAGTTAAGATATGTGACGGTAGCCCATTTACTTAAGTTTTTTAATTGATCGGGTGATTTAACATAATATTATAATAGGAGTGGATCTTGAACTCCGAGACAGACTTTTTATTCGAATTCCATAAATAACCCATTACTACATGAGATATTTATCAGACATACGACAACTCTGGTCAAACATCAGTGTCTATGTCTCTGTATCATCCTAAAAACGAATAGACCAAAGATTGAATGAAAATAAATAATTGGAAGAAAAATTTATTGGGTAAGGAATGAGCAGAATCGTAGGCGCTGGTCCCAGCAATCACGCCCTAATTAAAGTCAGCCATTTCCCACTACAAAACCAATTTGGACTTCCCATCTTTCTAAAATTTCTACTTATAAAATGGTGAATTTTGAAGCTGAAAACTGAAAAAGACAGCCATTTTCTGCAATATTTGTTAGTTTCAAGAGAGAAACAACCATAGATTTTGGACATTGATGTGTTCCATAATGAAGTTTGAGACAGTAAAAATGAGACAAACGAATTCTATTGCAAGAAAGCAAGTTTGAAGAACTGCTCTGCTAGTTCACGCCCTCACTCTTATGACACTGGTTTTTGTTCAAAATGAACATAAAACTCCGCTTCATTTTCCAGCTTCTTGATTTTATTCTCCGGTTCGTGTCCGAAGCATCGAAAAAGGGAGTTTCTTTTTTGAACCCCTTTTGAGGGAGCTTGAACTTTTGAGTTTATGTGATTTTGTTGTTCAATTTGGAGTGGCAGCCAACCTGCTCAGAGCATCAGAAACATGTCTCACCATGGGTCTTCTTTCGGGACTATTATGAACACAAGCTAATGCAATCTTCAAAACCGCGATGATCTCCTCGTCTGTGTCGTCATCTGGAGTCAGAGATGGGTCTATAACGTCTGAGAGTGGCTTCTTTTCCTCGATGCAGAGTTGAATCCATTGCACAAGATCCATTTCCGAGGCTCCCACCTGAACTATTGGCAACCTTCCGGTGATCATTTCGAGTAATATCACACCGTACGAGTAAACGTCCCATTTCTGTGATGGCTTCACGACTTTGAAGGCTTCTGGGGCTTGGTAGTAAGAACTCATACTAGAACTGAATGTACTAGCTTCAGAGGTTGCAGACTTCAATTGTTTCTCTTGTGATTTTTCCTCCGCCATATGACTCGATTGCACAGTCGGAGACCCTCCAGCAATGTTAATTAGGCGGGCGAGTCCGAAATTAGAAATATGCGGTACCATGTCGTGTCCAAGAAGTATGTTGTTCGTCTTCAAATTACCGTGGACATACTTTTTGGGGCTAAACTCATGCAAGTAAACCAATCCTTTCGCAATGCCTTTCATGATTCTTAACCGAGCAGACCATGGTAACGGTGTAAACGATGTCGTTCCTGGCTTCCCTGATGATGTTTAAAGAGTTTTATATATGAACAACAATCAGAAACTTGGTAAAAGATAAAAAGCTTTAGCTGCAAGAAAGAAAAAGAAACTTACCATGAATGGCAGATGCAAGGTTCCCATTTGGTATATAATCATAAATAAGCAATTTCTCATCAACAGACCAATAATATGCTCTAAGGCTAACAACATTTGGATGCCTCAACTTCCCAATTGCTTCAACTTCAGTTTGAAACTCTTTGAACCTTTGAGAACCTCCTTCACCCAATCTTCTCACAGCTAGAGTAAGTCCATCTTCAAGCACAACTTTATACACTATCCCGATCCCGCTTTTTCCTAAAACGAACGCCGATGCCTTGAGAAGCTCGTCAAGATCAAACGTGACGCGTGAATCCAGAGGTACCAAATCAAACTGCTCTATATGCTCCGAAACGTTCTCGGATTCACCCTTCTGAAAGCAGAGACAATCCTTTCTTCCACCCTTCTCAAACCCATAATTAGATTGGTCTGCCTTCTTCCCATTTCTATGAGTGCAAAACCTCGAATAGCAATACGAAAACAGCAACCCGATCAGGCAAATACCGATAATGTCACTGATGATTATCGCAACCAAAGTGCTCTTACTCACCCCTCCTTTGTCATACTTTTTACCACTACCCTCAGAACCCCCAGGTGGATAATTGTCCGGGAAAAATGGAAAGGAGGACGGCGAACTCGCGCCCGGAGTCTCCAAAGAGCACGGATTCTTCAACGGAGCTCCACAGAGTCCAGGATTGCCAATAAAAGCAGTTGGTCCTCTGTTGATAAGAGCACCATTTTGGGGAATCGAACCACTCAAATTATTATAGGTAAGATCAATATAAACCTTTTCAGGAAGGTTTCCCAGGCTGGCTGGGATTGGACCAGAAAACAAATTATGAGACAAATCAACAGTCCCTTGCAAGCTAGACAAATTACCAATGTCCATAGGAATTGGCCCATTGAACTTATTGTAAGAAAGATCCAACTTTTCCAAGAAATTCAAACTGGAACCAAACCCACTAGGCAGAGAATTGGAAAGATTATTCTGACTAAGATCAAGAATCCTCAATCTTCTGCATTCCATTAACGAAACAGGCAACGACCCATTAAGTAAATTCTGAGACAAATCCAAGATTTGGAGGTTTTTAAGCTTACCAATCTGAGTTGGCACCGACCCAGAGAAGGAATTCCCGTAAAGCACCAAACTTTGGATTCCATTAGCTTGAAAAAGCTCCAATGGCAAGGTTCCATGGAGTTTATTGCTCCTGAGATTCACATGGCGGAGCGCAGAGAGAAACCCCAGAGAAGCAGGAAGAACCCCATTAAGTTTCTTCTTAGGAATGCTAAGAGAAACAACTCTCAGATCCTTGCATGTAACTCCATTCCAAAAACAGGGGTTTTGATCTGAAGAATTCCAGTTGCTGAGGGAGCCCTCTGGGTCTTCTGTAATGGAGTTTTTGAAAGACAAAAGGACATTGCCTTCTTCGTTTAGAGACGCCATTGAAAGGGAGCAGTTGCAGAGGAGAAAAAAGAGGAACAGGGGAGGTAAAATTTCCATGGAAACTTGGAACTTGGAAGTGGAGGTTCTTCAGAGGGGGTTTAGTTGGTGAAAATTAAGTGATAAGGAGGATGAAGCGAGTGACCGACGAGGGAACAGTGTGGAACCCTTGAAAGTGATGGAGCAGAAGAACTGGAGAAGGCTCAAAACTCAAAAGTAAAGTTTTCAGACCAAAAGTCTAAATTATTTAGAGAGAGAGAGAGAGAGAGAGAGGATTTCGATGGCGATAAAAATGGGAAAGGACTGCCATTCCACAAAGAAAAAAGTACTTTTAACCTCTAGCTACTGGTTAATTTATATTTTAAATAACAATTAAAATATTCTCTCCATAAATATATATCTAAAAACATGACGGGTATAGTTAAGTGGTAGTTGGTATATATCTCAAATCAAAATGTTGGTTCAACATTTGTTAATACATGTCTCATGGTCATAAATTCAAATTATCCAACCGTACTTAAAAAAAATGTTATAGGTACCAACCTAGCATTTTCCCACTTGAGCCCTTATTAAATGTTTAAGCAATGACCATATATGACTGGTTTAAATAATCGTCTATTTTTTTAGTTACCAAAACCATCAATATACTAATATGATGACATTTATTCATTCTCTCGAGATTGGAGATTCAAATATCTATAATCTCATCTTTATTTTTCCTTACCAAAAAATAAAAAATCTAATAAGTCGGTTTTTTACTGCAAATAATTTTTTGTCAAACAAGTTACTATTTACTCAATTATAAGGACACAATTACATTTTTTTTTATTGAGGAGTGTGTTATATATGTACATATAAATGGTATTTTCAATTCAATTAATGATAGCTAATGTTAACCGTTTGTCAATCTTTATAATATTAGGAAAAAATACAAAGATTAGGATAATTAAATCATATGAGGGGTAAAATATTAAATGGTTAAGAAAAGAAAAAGAGTGAGGGGGCCGCAAGAGGGCAAATTAAAGAAAAATTCAGAGGGAGTTGGTGAGAAAATCCATTGTTTAAGTGAGAGGAAATTAGCAAAATCATCTAATAATTTTTGCACGATAAGTTGTCGGGAAGACAGAAATATGGGAGTTTCTTCATAGGAATTGGGACATACATTTGCTTTAGAAACAAGTGTATAATTTGTCAGAGGGGCTGCTGTCTGTTCCCTCTATACTTTTTTGTTTTCTCTTTCATTTTCCCAGGAAACAAACAGATTTTGCCAAATACTTCCTTTTTTTTTTTTTTTTTATTCATCCATCCATCACTTTCTTATTACAAATTATGGTGGAAGTACGTTGGATTTATATATACAGTATTGTAATGTAATGGGGATGTGTCAATGTCTGAAATAAGGGGAAAAAAAGAACAGTAGACTTTGAGGAAAAAAAATGCCATCTGTACAACGTTATTTACTTCACTAGCTCGCAGCCTATAAAGCTAAGTTTCATTGCCCAAATTGCTAACCATGGAAATGGACACTTCATTTTGTTTGGTATCCAAATAGGGAGATGTTTGGGTTTTAGATTTTGACAATACCGTGAATTTGTGTAATTTGTATTGGATGGTAGTGAATGAATATAGAAACTTAGTTGTGGACGGTTAATATTTGATTTTATTGATGTTATGACATGATATGTGAAAATATCTATAGGGGACATGTTTGGGTTGTTTTTTATAATCATTAATTTAAACATTGCAAGTTGGTTCGTTGATCCAAAAGGACCAAAGTAAATGAAAAAAAAAATGAGAGGGGATGAGTTCGAACYCCATTATTACTACATACCTGAGGCTATGTTTCCTTAGCAACTAAATGTAGTAGAGTTATAAACATTTATCAAAGTAGCTACTTTACTTTTGTATTAGCTTTTATTAGGATGGATGAAAACAAATACTGTGTTTAGAATAATGGTTAAAGAGAAGGTAGAATGTAAACTATGACCTATAAAAAGGAAAGATGTATAAACCGAGTCAGGCCATATTAGCTACCTTTTTAATAATACATGTGTCAATAAGATCTATTAGGATATGTTTATCAAGCCTATTTATTAATCATTATATTTTCATAATTTCACAATTTTAATTATGGAAAACCAAATTCTTTCGATGCACTCAATAACGTACGGTATACAAGAATTCACATGTGATTGAACTCAGGGAAAAAGAAAGTGACAGTTCAGACAAAATCTAATAATAGTTTTTTTTTTTTTTAGTACATCTAATAATAGTTAATTACAATAAACGAACTCTGTCAAAAGAAAAAAAAAATTATAATAAACGAACTAATAGTAATTAATATTATGAAAAAAGAAAACTAATAATAATGACGGATAGGATAGACAATAAATTCCATTGTGGGGCCCGCCGGAGTTTTGGATCTGGACCCAGCGTGGGGACCACTGTCTAGCGATTTGGGAATGATCAGACGGTGACGGATGAGTGTTCACCATAGGACATGGCACTTACTAAAACAGGTAATCATTGCTTATTAACCATTAAAGTGCCACATCATAATTATGATTCCCGCTAACGGGGCCCACTTTCCAGCCAATCAGAAAATTTATCCTCTTTTTTAATTGATTTTAAGAAGCCCAGCCTTGACCAGGCAAAGCCACTTTTGATTATATACTAAATCAACGGTCGGGATCTTCCTGCGAACCTGGTACACTCTGTACGACGTCGTTCGATTTGTACCACGTGGGAGCCTACAAAGCTAGAAAAAGGAATGCTCTTTTCTCACTGTAGACGAAAGACGAGAAAGAGACGTATCGCGAGATGGAAGACGTGAACGGAGAAGTAGCCGTTTCTCAGTGGTGAGTCCCACGTGTCTGAGGGCGCTCCAGGAAAGGACCTGAGAGGCGGAGAATACGAAGGGGCCGAGATGAAAATAAATTTATTTTGAGGGTCTATCATGGAATTTTAATGATGTGCAGGGGCCATGCAATTAAACCGTTGCGTTAATGGGCCGGCTTCATATGATTGCTATTGATGATTTATTTAGATGGGCTTCTTTTATAAACTAAGCAACCGCCCTTAAATAATGTTTATATTTGTGGCTAAATTAAGTTGGTGAAATTGGAAACTGGAAACTGGAAAAAGTTAAAAAGCTTTCATTTTTATCTAGCTAGCTCATTATTAAAGATGGCCAAAGGAAAGGAGAAAAAAGCTTTTCACAATTCTATTCTTTTGTTACATGTATTATTAGGGCAGCTCATTGATGATGCATTATTAAAGATGTCGTTATTCTAAACTTGGTATATATATATATTTTTTTTCAATGGAAAAAACTTCGTTCTTACTCTCACGTGGCCCTATAAAAACAAGACAAGTGTTGGTTAATGTTTTTTTTTAATTATTTTATTAAATTTTATAATATCATCAAAATCTTCCCAAATCTCTTTCAACATTTTTAGATTGGTGGGACCAATTTTCTCCTTTTTTTCTCTCCCTACAACTTCTCACTTCTTCGGCTACCTTTTTTCTCAACTTGATGCACCATTGATACTTGATCATCTTAAGCTAAAAGTTAAGGGAGAAAAATAATCCAATATCCCAAAACTTCTTCAAATTACATTCATTTGCAAAAATGGCTATGAACAAAAAATTGTAGAAAGCCTCCATCTAAAATTAGAAGATAATAAGGCACAAGACAATAGAAGAGAAATGTTATGCAATTTATGCAACTTTTCAACCATCATTTAAAACTATGAAAAATAAAAATTAGATTATATATATGTGTACGCCTTTAAATTGTGGATAAGTATTTGTGGGGATTGATTTTTCATTGATAGACTTGAGTTGCATCAAGTTTAAAAATAAAATAGAGATAAATAAAATAGAAAAAAAAAAAGAAAAAAATAGAGGTTAGAGTACTATTCAAGTCGATAAGAAAAGGAAAAACGAAGATGAGGGAAAAAGAAGGGAGTGAGAAGTTGTACAGAGAGAGAAAAAAAGGGAGAAAAGTCCTCCAACAAATCTAAAAAAGGTTTCAAAGATATTTGGGAAGATTTTTATGAGATTTTGATGAGATTTAATAAAATAATTATAAAAAAAAAGCAACAACAAGACTTGTCCACTTGTCTTGTTTTTATAAGGCTACATGAGGGTAAAGAGCACAATGCTCCTCACCATTAAGAAGCGAAGTTTTTTCCATTTTCAGTTATAATAATTGTTGTAGTACTGGTATTTGGGTTTAGTTGAGTTTGTTTGTGTTGTTATATTATCTTTGGAGCACTCTTCTCTATATTATAGTGAAAGGTTTTCATCGGTCATTAAAAATGAGTTCTAGTCTCTTTGTAGTTCTAATCTCTTTGTAATTATATTCTCGAGTACTTTGTATATCATATTATACAATATATTGTTGCCACTCTAATTTTAGGTTAGATATGTTTTATTACATCTTCTTAAGTATAATAATTTAATATAATAAATCCAAATGTCAAACCTTTTGCTTTTTCTAACAAAGTAATGATAAGGAGAATGAAATAAAGGAAGGGGAGAGAGAAACGATAAACGGCATTTTCATTTTGCAAAAAAGAAAAGAAAAGAATATGAGTTAGAGATTTTTTAGTACAATATGTCAAAGAGAAGAATCGAATTCAAACCCTCTTGATTTGAAGTACATATCAATTACCGTTGAACTAGGTTMATTTTGACAATATGAATTAAAGGTTGCACAATAACTACCCAAACAAAAACATTAAGAATTTTTGTGAGCTTTTTTGGAAAATTAGAATGGTTTCTCAATTTTAAAACTATTTAAGTAAATAGGGTAGTTTTTCATGTCCTTATTCAAATAGACTAGGAAGCGTCTGCCAACGCATCCATATGTGATTTGACAAAAAATTGGATCTTAATATTTTAGGGTTTTGTTTGACAAGATTCACATTTATTGTCTTTATTTCATATTTTTAGTAAAAGAAAAAGTAAAATTTGATTGCCACAATATCCAAAGATTCAAAGAACGATAGAAAAAAATTCTTTTGTTTTGGATACGGGAAATAGGACCTATAAATAAGAAACTTTTTTTTTTGTTTTCAAAATTTTTATATAATTTAAAAATGTTTTAGACAATGAAAAAGAAGAGACATAAAAAATTATCAAATATTTAAATTTCTTAACAAAATTAGAAATGAAATAGGCCCTTAATATCCAACTACCCAAATGGATAATTATCTTCCTAGCTCTTACATGGTTTATTTTAATTAATGCGAATATGTGATTCGACCGCACCATCGATTGTGCCCTAAAAGTGTTAATAAAATGAGAGACATTAATTTTTAGAAAAATTAAATAATATTTTACTTAACAATAAAATAAAATGGCGTGTGAATGCAATTAAATACATGCCCCACGCTTGTTGACTTCTGGGCCAAACGAAAGGCCAAGTAAAGTTGACATCTTACGACATCCAAAATACAATGCCTCTCTTTCTATATATACTTTATTATTATTAATAATATTATAATTATTATTTCCAAAATATTTCCACTTAACGGCCAACCGTTAAAATAACTAACTTTTTATTTTCTAATATTAACGAAACATATTCTCCATTTAATCGGTTATGTCACCGCCCGAGTAATTGATTTCGCAAATTCGCAATGAAATTAATTATAACATTTGATCCAAAAATAAATCGAATTGAAAAGGAGAGGAGGAAGAGGACGTGGCCAATTTAGGAGCCAACTATTTTGGCCACAAATGGATAAAGACAACACGTACCCTTTTACTAAACAGATCATTTTCCAATTATACTTTTTTATTTTCTTTTTTAATTTTGTCGAGTGAGTTGAGTTAATTAGTTTTACACATTCTAAAGCAGTAAACTGGAAATCCCTAAATCTCCCCCAAGAAAAAAGAAGACGACAAACAGGAAAATTACAGGCAGTTATCCGATGAGACGCGCCGCCGCCGCCACGTAATCAGGTTGCGGTGGAGGCGGAGATATCAGGCGCCGCAGCCGGCTCCACAACCGGCGGCACATGCAGTTCCGTAAGTGTCGGCGTGGGACGTGTCTTTATCTTTGGCGCCGCCGCCGGCGCAGGAGAAGATGGCCGTTGTAATTACAAAAATGGAAATCACCGCTGCCCACAATATCAGAACCGCCGAACCGGTGCTGAATCCGCCGCCTTCGCCGCCGCCCAAGTCTCTCCATTCCCTCACCATCTAAAACGCCCCCTTTTTTCTTCTCTCTGTGGGATTATAGATCAGAACTGCCAAGCCGTATTAATGACGGGTGAAGCAAGGATCTAAATATCTAATCCGATGACTGGCCAATTATATGACGCCACGTGTACATAAAAGAGGGGCTAAAATTTTGTTGCCCTTTCAAAAGGCCGCCTTTTGTTGACTCTTTTTTTTTTCCTTTTAAAAATTTAAAAGTATGATCTAGTTTAGTCCAATTGTTTTGTCTCAATTTTGCTTTTATAATTTAAATTTGTTAAATTTAGTTTGGTTTTTATGATTTTGTGGTTAATTTCAATTTAATTATCTTGATTTTGTTAAATCTTATACTTACTCTTCTATTTTTTTTATTTGAGTTTAAACTTTAATATAATATATTAACACAATTAGTTAAATAGAAAAATACATCTTTTGGTTTGGAGTGCTATCCTTCTTTTTAAATGATGAGCCTTATTTGTCAACATTTCAGACGGTGTTGTGGATCAAAAATCTAACTCAGTAAAGAAGTTGTCTACGATGAAGTCAAGTGCACTAATGCACACCAAATAAGAAAATGGTGGATTGGCTAGCTAACTTGTGCACTCAACATAAAAATTGTATTGGAAAACTATGTCGGTAATAAAGAGAATCATTTGTGAAGTTGGACTAAAATATAAATACCATATTCAAACTATATCTAAAACACAAAGACTAAATTTAAAATTTAAAATTATATTAACTAAATTTGTAATTATATATATATATATATATATTTTTTTTTTTTAAGAAAACCGAAATTTAGAGGGATTCTCTTTTCCGTTTTCAAAGATGAGGCCAAAAAATCAAAGTCAGCTTCCACATTATGAATACCTCTTTTTCACCGACTAAATTAATTTAAGAAAATAATTTATTTCTATTCATTACAAACTTGAGGATTAATATTTAATAAAAATCTTAACGAATTTGAGAATTTGAATTTTGTTTCTAGGTATTCGAACGGATGCTGATGTCACCTACTGGTGCAAAAAGTCAAAAATATTTTTGTTAAAATTTATCGATCAATATTATTAAAAAAATTTCGATGTTACCAATGATTTGTCAAAATTGTTGACAATACTTGCAATTTAAATCAATTAATTTAAGAAGAGTGAGAAAAATAATTTGAATAAAAAGAAATGCGAAGACAAAAAATTGTCAATATCAATTATCAACATCATTTGGAGAGAAGAAAAGAAAAGAAAAGGGCAATTGGGTCAACGCCAAATGTGTACCCTATTATTCTCAAGTTAATTAGAGAATAATCCTATCTATAAAAAAAAGCTGTGGATTTAAAATATTATTCCCATTTTTTCATCACTTTTTTCTGAACTTTATAAATGTGGGTCCCTTTGAATTATTCTTGAACTGAAATATTTTCCCGCTCTTAAAAGTAAAAATATTAATGAATAAGTTTAAATACTACTTTTTTTTTTTTTTTACCTCGTACTTTCAAATTGTCTATTTTTTATTTCTATAATTTCAACTTTTGTTTATTCAAGTCCATATACTTTTAAAAAGAGACCACCTTCTATCTTTATTTTTATCTCATTTATTTCAAGCATCACATTTTACTCGTTAATTTTCTTGAAATGTAGCAATTGTGTATTAATTTGTGTTAAAATTTTACAAATATGAACCAAAATGATCTATTTTTAAAAGTAAAGGAACCAAAATAGACATTTTGAAAGCATGAAAAATGAACAAAATTGGAGTACAAAATCAAAATGAATCAAAACCAAAAGTATAAGGACCAAAATAGTAATTAAACAAATTAATTATTAACGTGGCAGATAATAAAAATACTAATGAATACTAGCACACACATTCTCAAACAAGCCCAACATAATCATATGGGCTTGTACCAGGCCCACGGCCCAGGTAGCATTTATTTGGCATTCAGACATATAACCCAAATATTCTGCAATATATTTCTGAAAATTATTTAAATTAAGAATTGAACAATCGGCACGCCTTGATAGATTACATCATTAGATAACAAAACAAAATATTTAAATAAGACAATTAAAACAAACATTATATTAATACAGAACAAAGAAGAAATCTGAATCATTAATTAGCTTAAATATGGTATTAAAGAAGTCTCCCATTTACATGTAATTTTTTTTACGAAGGAATGAAATAATTAATTAAATATAGTAATTTTGAGTAATTATATTATTATTTGTTTTTATTTTTCCTTGGGATTTTGCTGAGGACATTGGAGTCAAGGGCGTGGAAGAAAGAGTGGAAGTAAGATTTGAGCTGGACGCACAGCTGGTTCGCCTCCTCCTCGTACTTGTCGTACAGAAACGGCACCGTTTGTAAGCTCACAAACACTGATCCAGTTTTGACGACAAAAAAGAAAAAAAAAAGTTAGTTGTAGATGGATATTAAATTTTCATGGATATATCAACATTTTCACATGCGTATGAGTGCGACGTTTGTATAAAAAGGTGAATTGATATTTTCATAGTATCTGAACAAAAATTGACAACAAATACAAAAGTATAAACAAAATATCACCCTGGACATTATATTAATAAATTTTAACTTATTTAAAAAGTGAAATATGTAGTTATTAGCTTAAATATTTATTATGATTCTTTTTATAACTTTTTCAAAGTATCTATCTATAGATCAACATTTTCCGACATCACACATTTAAAAGTGGCCTAGATATATATTGAGAGAGGGTGTACCAATGTAGATGAGATTTAATGTATTGGCCAGCTCCCCAATAGCTGATATCAACCAAAGGCCCCCCATTACCTGCAAAAGAAAAATAATTAGAGTTTGTTTGAGTTGTTCTTTTAAGATTGGGTTTGGTAGCGATTTTTGTTAGATATCCATAAATGAATTAAATTTATCCAACCCATCAGTTTAAGTTTTTGGATCGAGTGGTGGTTTGTTCATCCATCAGAGCGAAATGTCCTGTATTCGAATCTCTGCATTGTTATTTGCAGTGAGGTGAGTATTACATTTATCCAACCTACGGTAATTGTACTTCTAAACTATATTTTGAAGTGTTTTTTGGTTAAAACTAAAATCACTTTGTCATGAATAAATGCATAGGTGATACTCAAAATTATCACTTTATCATTGTGTATAAACTCAAAGCCAGAAGCAATTTGTGTAGGCTACCAAAACACATGATATAAGAATTACTTTGACCCAAATGCATGCGCTTTTATCAAAGTAGTTATAAGTTATAAGTAAAGTACTTTTGCCAAAAGCATACATTTTCTGGAACAAATTAAAAACTAATTAAGTTTGGGTGGGTAATTAAGTTAAGTACCATTGCAAAGAGCTTAAAATCATGCCCACTTGAGACTTCAAAGAAGTTGAACAGCAACCAGTTGAATGAATCAAACAAGTGTCTGAAAGTGGACTCAGAGATTTGAAAATCATGGACATTGGGGGGAGCCCTACCAATATATAAAACACAGCAAAACTTGTCACTGCTAAAAAGATCTCAGTTCATTATTGTACTGATCAAAACATAATAGACACGAGCTACGAGCTACTGCTATTATGATATAGAACCTCACGAGGACCAAAAAAGTCGTATAAAATCCCGACAAAATCAAGAGAGAGAGCAAAAATATTTATATACCAGTTGGCCAAAAGTGCCAACTTGTTCCAGACGAGAAGAAGAAGCATGAGGATGATGAGGAGGTGACAAAGAAGAGTAACAAAAGGATACTCCAAACCCTCAAACACCAACCAAACCGCACTCAATCCAACCAACGTTGCCGCCGATGCTGTCTTGTTCTTCCACAACATCATGTCTGCCACTGCATTATTTTCAACCCAAATTAATTTATTATATGTTAATTAAGATTACTACTAAATTCAAAACATTAAGTGTGCCATTAGGTTATGATACATTCCAGTGATTAAAAGATGGAAATGGTTCCCTTCCAACATAGAATTTCATACGTGATTATAAGCTAAAAGATTAAGCTGATAAATTATGGTATATGTCTAATCTTTCCTAAATATACGTGTTTTGATCTCTAATATTATGTTTGGGTGTTTGTCTAATTTAATACCTATTATTTAAAAGGCTTTAATTTATTCCCTTATCTTGTACTATTTTTCAATTATATTTGAATGTTAAATAATTGGTTGATCAGAAGCTATGGTGCCGAAACTTAAAGTTCTTAGAATTTTGGATGAAGGATAAGAAGCTTGAATATACTTCCTTCCAAACCGACAATGTGTACGAATTTTTCTACTAATTACCAGTATAATTAGAAATTTGACAGTAATTTATTTTTTATAAAAAAAAAAGAAAAAAAGAACTCTTTTCTCTCTATCCCTTTATTAAATCTTTCATATTTTTTTCCTTCCTAAACTATGATTTGATTTTTCGTCTAAATTTATAAATGATCACTAAGTATCATGTCATGCAAGTTTATTATCTGTCAATTTTAATACTCCATCCAAGAAAATACGGTTTTAAAATGTTAAAAGGAACTAATTATAATTAAACTCATAAAACGTAATAGGAGAAACATGAGATAATATGGAGATTGTGTAGGAAATTAATTAACCTTTGCCATGGCCTAATATGGAATGCATAAACCTGTGACGGCGGAGGAGACGGGGTTGACGACGGTCATAGTCACCGGAATCGGACATTGTTGGGCTTGCCGGAAGTTATATTGTGGGGATTAGTTATTATGTTAATTGTAGATTTATTTGAGGATGAATTTGAAGGTTGAAGATGGGATCGATTATGAAAATTCTAAACTTTGGGGACACCCATTTAAAGAGCAAAGAAAGGAATGGAATGGCTTTGGCAATTGGCTTTTGAGGAATAATTAATATTCATTCTCTCTTCTATTTTCTCCATTAAGTTTCCATGGACACCACAACCCCCATTAATATTACCCATCTTCAAATTTACTTCTTTTCCGTTCCCAATCCTAATCAATTAATTTTTTCATAAGGGATATATTAAAGATTCAAATCTCCGCTCACACACGTGGTTGAACTAAAAAAAATAATCAATTTTTTATTTATTATCATATCTACAAAGACCAATTTCAAGTACTAGTATGTAAAAGGGAAAAAGCTACTAATTTCAAATAGGGTTAATTTTATTCTTTCCAATATTATTATAAAGACACATTATCATCTCAAAAAGTTTTAATCTCCATCTCACCATGGTTGAACTTAAAACAAGGAAAAAAAATTAATTTTTTTCAAATTTAATTAAGTTGCCTATTTACTCTCTAGCTATACTAGAAGAAAAATGAGCTTATGGGATGTACCTTTGCGGTAGAAACTAAAATTTTGTCGTTGAAAACTTTCAGCGATAAAAAAGATTTTGACGCAAGTGTGGTCACTAGAGCTGCGTTTCAAAAGACTTTCAGTGACGAAAATCGTATCGTTGCAACTTTCGGCAATGATTTACCGTTTTCGTGCTTTTTCGTCGTTGCAACAACAAATTTCGTTTCCACTGTTTTTGCTCATTTGAGGAACAGTGCCCTAGAAGATCCTGACCATGTCATCTAACACAGGATTCTGCGTCAACTTCTAGGATCTGACACCAAAGATGGGACATCCGTCAAATGTCAGCAATTCTTGTGCTGGACACACCATGCCCTAAACATTAGCAATAATCTGAGATCTTCCTACGAAGATGTGTAGCTTACGATTCTTTGATTACGATTGCGGATAAGTAAACGAGTCTCACTGTAAAAATAAAAAGACCATAAACACAGCCAAATGGCACCATCACAGCAGAGAACGAATCAAACGTTGGAGACCCAAATGTCGTAAAGCAACCCTAAAATCTAAATATACATAAATAAAGCAAAAGACCCAAAAAGAAAACAAAAAAGAAAAAGAAAAAGAAAGGTGGATTTGACTAATTAACAGTTTCCCTCTCTTTTTCTCTACCAACCAAAAACCAAACACTTCCCTTTCCCTCTGATTTCTAATATAATAAATCAAAAACCAAAAACCAAACCCTAGGCGTTCTGTTTCAGATCGTAAGGCGCCGCCGCCATGGGCAGCCCATCATTCTCATTCTCATTCCGCCGCTGCTTCACCCATCCTCCGGTGTCGGCCCTCGAGTGCGCCACGTAGTACACAACCGACCCCACCAACGACACCACCGTCATGGCGCCGGCGCCGGCGAACACCCCCTTCCGCAGCGTCGCACACGACAGATTTTCCCCGCCGAACGCCGCCCTGTACTTGGTGTGGTACGCGTTCCTCGCCGATCCCGCCAGCAGGCAAATCTCCGCTCCCACAAACCCCATCCTAAACAAATCCCTCCCGAAATCAATCCAATTCAAACGCGCAATTTGAAAATTGAAAACCCAAAATCTGTAATTAAGTACCAGGAGAATACGAAGAAGAAAATGGCGACGGCGGTGGTTTTTGATCCGCTGATTAAACCTTTCCCACAGCACAGACACTTGGTCACGCCGTTAACCACCGTCTGGCTTATCAGAAGCAAACCGAACGCCGACAGTCCGTACACCGTCGACGCGTCGGTGCCGTACACGCAGTACGTCTGCTCGTCGTACTCATCCGGCACAACCTTGGCCTTCAAACAAACACCCAAAAAAGGGAAAAAGCCATTGATGAAAAGGGTCTCTGAAACAGAGAGGTAAAGAAACAGAAATGTACCGTGCTGCGGCGGCGCTCGGCGCCGACGGCGAGGACGAAGGCGATGAGATGCAGAGAAGTGATGGTGGCCAATACAATAGCAGAAACCGCCATTATCGGCATCGTCCCTTTTTCTTTTCTCTCTCTCTTTCTCACTGTAACAGAGATCGCTGATTACATTACAACAGGGGAGGCTTCAAATTTTGAACTTTATCTGCTTTTTGATGAAATTCGGCGGAATTTTGATTCCGATTATTAGGAGTTCTGATTCCCTGCTTTCTCATTAACTTTGATTTAACTATGGAACCAATGAAATATGGTTTTGGATTGGAGTTGGACACGTGGCGAGATTTGAGTGGAGGTTTTCTTGGCTACGGTGGACAGTTTATCAATTTATTGTTTCTTCTAGTGCGGCCCTGCGGGAGGTGGGACCCTTAATTGGACCGTCTTGAGAAAATGTGTGTACGCGGAACGGAACGGCGTTGGGTTGTCGGAAACTCAGTTTGTCCGTTTGCCGGTTGCCTCACCGGCTATAGTAGGTTACTTACTCCACAATCTACATGCCTGCCGGCCCTGCCCGTTATGGACTGGCGGGGCGGTATAAGAATTATATCATCTATGGTGATTATTAAGAATGCTTCGTGGGTAGAACTTAAAAAGACCAAAATAATAATAGTAAAAGAATTTTTTTCTTTTTTGGTACAAATAGAAGTGAAGAATTCGAACTCGTGGCTTCAAACATGTATCATTCATTACTTAACTAAGTTCATATTAGTAATAGTAAAAAATATTCATCAACTTGTACTAATTTATTCCATTAATTAAGCTTTTAAAAAGTCAGATCAAACATAGCTCAAATGGCTACAGCATCTATCTCTAACCAAAAAGTAATGAGTTCGAACCTCCACCCCTCACATTTTGTGTATCAAAAAAATAAATAAATAAAATAAGTCTTTAAGATGGCAACTTTAAAATAATTCAAAACTACCTATTTTTGACCCAAAAAAATCGTGAGTTCGTGGAAGAAAAAATTAAAGTTTTGATTTTTTTTCCTTTCTTAAATTGCTTTTTAAATCATTTCATTCTCTATAACAATAGTTTCATTTATTTCCCTTTAATCATAATCTATGTAAAGATGGACTCTTTTGAATTCAAAGACATAACATAAAATTGAAAGCACAGTGCACATAGATATATATTTTTTTAATATTTGAAATAATTATTTTAAGTATTCAAAATTCCCAGCAAATTATTTTTAATTAATGTTATTGTATACACCTAAAAAAATTAATTTTGTACTTTTTAATCTTAATAAGCACAGTGCACATAGGCTCATATGTTGCCCGTGTTTGTCAAATCTCAATTATTCCAAGATTCATGTCGGAACAACCTAGTTGCCTCTAAGTACTAATTAAAGGACATATATTTAGTAAAGTTATATTTTAAAATAATATTGGAAAAATGAAATATACTGATAACTAAAGTGAGCTAGGTAGAAATTTAGTATAATTTAATTGATTCCGACAACGTCAAAAAGCAAATTCAAGGACCTTAAAGACACTTGTTTTTTAAACAATAATAACAAATGAAATTGACTAGGATATTTTGAGGAGTCCAATTCAAATTTTGTACATTGTTTTTTCCTCTTTCTGTACACGAGAATTGTTAATTAGAAATAATTAAAATTGAACATGAATCGTAATTTTAAATGCCAAATCCATTAAAAAAATGTCATGCAGAAACATTGATTCCATTTTTGTTTTCAAAATCAAAAGAAGGATTCAGAAATCAGAAACTTAATTTAAGACCAACTCTTAATGGTTTTAAATAAACGTTCATATGATTTCTCTTCAATTAATAAAGGCTTATATGATTTCCCTTCAATAAGTTTTGTTTAATAAATTTGCATAACCTTAAAATTTATGTTGAATAAGTTTGCATTAACTTTTAAAGTTATGTCTAACAAATACCTAAACCTATAAAAATATCCCATAAATTCCGAAACTTATAACTTGTGTATAACAAGTATCTCAACTTTGAAAGCGTATCTTAGGAATCTTGTAGTCTATTAAACATTTTGAACCTATTAGACATAAATTAAAAGTTCATCGTTATATTAGACACAAAATTGGGACCGTCAAATATATTAAATAGGTCAAAAATCTATTACACAATTAAAAATTCTGAAATCTAGTAGACACACCATTGAAAGTTGAAATAGAGAGACCTATTAAAGTTCCGAAGTTGTTAAATATTGTAATTTAACCTTGGAGATGGGTTAAAGAGAATTACCAGTACACTTACGAGCACCAGGGAAGCCGACGCTGTTCCTACGAATGGCCCCCTCCAGTAGATGCTGGTACCGTACATTTACATTTCTACAGAAGAGAACAAAAACAAGGTCATCAAGCATTCCATTGCTCCGGATCCGCTTGGATTCCCATTGTTTCATCAAGCCTCAAAGCCATTTTAAGGAAACCAAGAACGGAAAAACACCCAAGTTCAGGGCGTATTGAACGCTTTCCATAAACATTTCTAAAGGTTATAACCAGTTCGTGGACAAGGGAACTCCTGCGATACAGTTCAATGCTCTGCTGTATCTGAGCTCCTGAATCAAACCTATTAATATCCCGTTAAATAACATTACATTCTAACAAAATTAGGACTGTCGGTCAGAGAGATTTAAAAAGGCAAGGAAACCTGCTTATTAATACACGTCGAACCAACGTCTACCTTCCAGTTCCAAGGCTTTTTCTCTTACATTTTTACCATGCACTTTCCATTGGTCTTTGTTATTACATCAGGCATGTGCTTGCCGACCATCTACAGCCTTCAGTTTTTGGGGACCTATTCCATTCCTTAGCCTTCCCCTCCAGTTCCCCTCACCTTAGTGAAAGCAAACGAGAGAACCGCCCTTTCACCAAGCATACAGCGCAACGCACAAAATTACAGGATTCTTTTCCAGGGCCACAACTCGTTATGCTTTGCTTTCTAGTTGGTAAGAATATAGTATCAGTAAGGTGTTGCATCTCGGCGGCTGAAGAACAGGAAATCCGGGTGATTGACCTGGAGAAATCTTAACCAGTGATCTGCAGCCTGCGAGAGGGAGTTTGCCAACTGATGCTCAACTCCACCATTTCGCATCCACAATGACGACCCTTTAAACTTGTATGAAGCAAGTCCAAAAATTCTTAAAGGAATCTTTTCGGCACTATCCGTCTTGCAAGGATATGCCACAAATGGCACTTGTGTGCTTTGAGGGCCTAAAAAATATGAAGAAAAGTATTTGTGGTCTTCTCAGATACATCATCATGACACCATGAATCTCACACAATACTATAAACAAAGAAGAATAAAATGAACTTAAATTGGAAGAATTAAAAAGATATTAAGACAAAAGCATGCGTAAAAATCAGACTAGCATGTCAAACTGGCAAAAAATTCAATCACCTCTGATTGCTGTATGTAGAGAATGGTACGTGAGAAAGCAAGCATCAAGATCCTTTAATGTTTGCCCGGTTGGTATTCTGTAAATTGGGTACCTATAACGTTTTGGGTAGGAAGCCAATTAGTCACATGTATATTACACAGCTTTCAAAGAAAAATGGACGATTCTGATACCATGCCACAGATATCCAACTATATGGTAGTAGGTCACAACTTCTCATTGTTTTCAGCTGAGGGAAGCGCGAAGCAAGGTCCAATATCTGTATGCCAAAATTAAAGAAGAAAAATGTGAAGCTGTACAACTAAATATATTCTCAAAACACAGAAAACTACTTGCCTTGTCAGCCAAAGGTTCACGTGAATACGGTAGGTCTCTTTCAAGATACTCGAATAGAAGGCGACCTTCAGAATTGAAAGATTCAGCCTCATCACTGGAGCAGTCTTCATGAAGTCCCATGTGCTGATCCCTCAAAGACAATCTATCTATTCTAAGAGGAGCTGTGATAGACGGATCATTATGGTGGAGTAGCTCTCTAGTGTGTTTTATTCTTCTCTTGGTTTCAGAATCACTACTACCATCACTACTTGAATCTCTATAGTCACTGTCACTTTCCTCACCCCATCGCCTTTCAAACAACCAAAGCTTATGTATCAGCATCACAAAAAAGGAAACACGAGAAGAAAACAAATGGTAGGATTCACTTTCAAATTCATAAAATTCAGAAACAATATAATGCCCCAACAAAACACACTAGAGAGATAAGTATGCCGAGCAACATTCAAATGGAGAGTTCCTTTCTTAATTACGTTGAGAAACATTCAAAGCATAAGAGTATAATCAACCAAAAAGGTAAAATAACTCTAGCTACAAGAGATAGCAATCAAATTCTTAGAGTCATTAATCTAAACGAATTGGCACTTCAGTACTTATCGCAGCCTCTATTTTCCTGAATGACACCCTCTCACAATACCTAATAACATAAGATGACGTTCAGATTCTCAATCTCAAAAACACTCTTGATCCTGCCATTAATCAAGATGACATATTAGCTATGCTATCAAAAGTTGGTTAGAACTTGAAAAAGTTTTTGCAACAGACGGGGGAATTTTGTCTAGAAAAAAGGTCCATCAGGGTGAAGCTAAATAAGGGGAGCTAAAATGGGTCCTTGGTGGAATAGAAGCATTCTGTAGGAACTACGAACTGACATTATGTCCATAGGATAATGCTACAAAATATAGGGACAAGATAGAAATCGAACATCAAATCAATTGAGAGGAAAGAGACCCAAATCACAACCTAGACTTTAGTGCTCGTTAAGTGAAAAGAATCAGGACCAACAAATTGGACACTCCCAAGCTAAGAAGCTGCATGCCATATATGCGTCAATGAATGTATAAAAAATAATAACATTTCTCGATCATATAAAAACAGAAACATAAAGATTATAATCTCCATGACCTTAACTCCAGCATATTGGATACCTTGGCTTTGCCGACGGTTCCATGCCGTACAGTTGTATACCAGACAAATACGGGACGTAATATTGAACCACACCATCAGTGTTATTCAATAGCAGAGGCACTCCTGCCCCATAAGCGCTCCACTCCTTGAAGGCCTCCCACAAATCCCCAAGCACGAAGTACGGTTGCGTCTCCGAATCGCACGTCCTCCAACCTCTCAACGAACTCTATGGAAAGAAAAAAGAAACAAGATGCAAGTTGTTTAGTTCCAGAAGTGAAATTGAAGTAGAGTTCACATTTTCTCTAAATCTGCTCAAACCTTGGAGAAAAACTGAGCAGGCACAGAGGGAGTAACCGACTGCAAGAAGCGCTCGAGATTACTTAACGGGGAAACAACCGGCTGGGGATTAGGATTAGGAACGGCAACTGGTTTAGTAGCTTCATCAGAGGCGACGCGGTGCGTAATCGGAGAATGCAGCGAAGAATCCTTAACGACGCAGGATGGAGTAGCGGAAGCGTCTTCTTGAGGTCTACACAGCCGATCATTTTGACGACTGAGAAGGCCTCTGCGCGCTCTGGATGAATCGTAGAACCGGTCCTCTCCCCTGCCGCGACCAAACCGTACACCGGCTCCTAACATCTCCACAGTCTATCTACTGATAACTCAAACACTACTCTGTAAGTTCCTATTAGAAATCCCTAACCAAAGTCAACGACGACGAACTCCAACTCGAAGAAAATGAGGAGCGATCCGATTGTCGAAATTCCAAACGGCAGAAACAGCAATCGTCGGATCTGCCTGGTAAATCAGATCGCCGGCGAAGAAATTCAAGGAAACAAGAACCGATCGGAGGAACAGCGGCGATGTATATGAAGCCGAAACGAAGACGAAAACACACAGTGAATCGAACGGGAGGAAGAGCCGGGTTTTCAGATGGGTGAGAATGGTAGACACATCAAAACGGTTCGATGAAGAGACGATTAGGATTAAAAGAAATTGGAAATCTCCTTTTTCATTCCAAAAAGTAAATTTAAAAAAATATATATTTGAAGAAAAGAAAAATCTCTCTCTCTTTCTCTATGAAACCAAACGTGCTGCTTCGGACTTTCCATGCCATTCAAAGACTTTAAATAAAAAATAAAAATTACTCTCTGCCTATGTAAAATTCAGATCCCAAATTTGTAATTACCATAAATTATTAATTTCCGACTATAAAAATAATTAATTAAATATGAATTTGAGAATGGGAGAAGAGGCGTGAAATGACGAGAATGGGCAAAACATCTGGTAATTATTTTTGCATAATGTAATTTTCAAGATTTAGAAGTAGAGGGTGAATTCCCGCCACACGAAATTCCAAAAAATCAATTTTTCCCAGTTTTGACGTATTGGACTGCGCGGGTAATTTTAGGCGTTGTGTAGGGGCAAAAGTGTAAAATAGGGAATCTAGAGGGACAAAAGAAAAAAATCTGAGGTGCAGGCGGAAGGGGAAGGAGATCCGGGGATGTGGTTAGGTGGAGAGGGATTATTTACGGGGCTTCTCGGAATCGCAACTGGAATGTGGACCCCTTTGGATGGACCAGTTTGAGACACGTGTACGGTCAGATTGCACGGAAAAATTATTACTTTTTTTTTAATAAGGATTTTACAAAAATTAAACATGATAAATAAACATAATGTCTTTAAATAGATAACGATTCGAAAGTTGGAAAGGATTATAGTCACATTAGGCAGCATCTTTGACATAAGGTACGAGTAATGATGGGTAATTAGAAATAAGTTTTTTTTTTCGATTTAACTTACCAAATTTACTTTACTTCATTTAATATCATAAAAACTGATAAGATGAAAGACAAGAAACGACAAACGTTAACGTTCACGTGATAAATAGCACATGTGCATGCTAAAGAATTGAATTTGGCGTTATTGAGTTCATAATACTTTGAGGTTGAATTTATTTGTGCACGAAAAATCAATTTTTAAGTTGTAAAATTCAATTATTAATACATGGATCAAGTCATATTGTACCAATATACTTAGAGAATTTATATACATTTTCTTTTACACAACTTAAGAGTTGATTAAGTTTTCATAATACAATATAGAAATAAAGTTTTTTTTTTTGGGTACCGAAACTGAAGCCATCTTTTTATAGGTCCTAAAAGAGAAATAAATGTTACTCAAAAGTCAAAAATTGAAATGAAATAATGGAAGAGAGAGAATATTTTCCAATAATGAAACTTATGTTATGATCTCCCAAAGAGAAAATCTTAAAAAGAAGCAATTTCCATTTTACCATCAGTGTGACAGTATAAAGAAAAAGGAGCAAAAAGACAAAAACATCACTTCAACTAAGAAAAAAAATGAAATTAAATTGCAAATTACAGCAGAAAGCCCCCAATCATATATATTTTCCTTTTAATCTTTCGAAATCCAGATCGTGTGACTTATATTGTAGATTCCTACAACAATGGCTCGTTGCCTCAACTGTTGTATAACATAAAGTCCAACGCCCTTGTTCATTTTTCAAAAAGAAAAAGAAATAGATTAAACCATGGAAAAAATGCAGTAGCCAAAATGTTACAAGTTCCTCAGAAGAATAATGGATCAAATTAAGACATTGGGATAAAATTCAAAAGCAAAACTATTCAGACTCACCTGTTCTCCTCTTTCCTAATAAGTTCAGATGGACAGCAGGACAGCCATGATTCTGCTCTTTCAACAGTAACCAAACATTATCATTTAGCATTATATACACATTATGATTATACTGGCAAAAAAGAGCATATACAAAAGAGAAGTACTACTCCTACATACTGAAGGCTGTTCTTGAAGCTTCAACAATTTACATGTATGGCATGTACATTCTGTATCACTTGACCCTATAAAAAATTTAAGCTTCTTTCATTCTCAACCATCTCAAGTTGGATTCTGATCACCGAATCTTGATAAGTTCGACCGTAGTTTATCTATATCGTCTTGTCTGTTGGACGATGTTCTTGCTATACCACCATAGAGGTGCAGTGAACCAGATTGGCGCCCAATTGTCGCGGTTACCGCGGAAACAAAAGCTTCCATTGTTGTCTTTGYTGATATGAAAGGTTCCCCAATCTTTTCGGGAGGAGTTGTCGAGTCCAAGACGAGAAGCCAATCCTTTCAAATGATTAGAATCCCATTCATTCCACCAAGGAGTAGCATCATCATTGGAGAAATATATACAGTTACTGAAACCAATACCAAACTCAGTTGAGGAAAGAGATCTAGAACAACATTTACCCAAAAACAGAATTTGATTGTCTAGATTATCGACCCTTTCCCAGTACATCTGAGAAATATCGAGCGAATAGATCTCGAAATTTACTGTTTCGAGTATGGCATCAGGTTTCTCGCTAAAATACCTACATACCAGCAAAACCTCCCCCGAGGATTCCACAAGATACTTCAGGACATGCGGACTGTTTATTTCCAGGTTTCTAGCTTCATGGAACTGTGCTTTGATCTCGGAAACAGATGAAGCACAGTCATTTCCTCTAACATTCGTAATGATACTCATGGCATCGAGTTGGTAAATGTTACAGTCATTGCAGAGAAGAAAAAGACTACTATTACAGAAGACAGCATCCTCGAAAGGCATACCTTCGAGTCTATACTTGTGCCATCCTTCTGATCCTTGAACCCAGAAAGCAATTTCGCTATGCTCACTATGAATGGCTGCACAAATCATGTTTTCCTCGACAGGAGACCCAGAAAGAACCATCTTGTGATAGAAGTTCCAAAGCCTTGGAAGGTTAATCTTCCTCAAAGAGAAGGGATTCAATAGACTGACTTCAAGAGAATAACAACCAAGATCCTTCACCAGGATCAGCCAGTCCTGAAAGGATCCCCAAACATAACCTCCATACGCCTCGAGAAGCTCCACTTCCCAATCTAGATTGTCTAGAACGCTAAAGCATGTTCTCATCTCTCTATCGTTTTGACCCGACATCAAAAGCCATGGGAATCCACACCTCTTCCAATTTGGAAGTTCAGCAAGGATGTTGCTCCACTGCTTACAAACACTATCGACTGACAAGCAATCAATTAGAGGTAACTGCCCGAAGATCGTGACAAGAATATCACGAGGAAGCCCTGCCCAATCCATAGTGGAATTTTCCCTTCCATCCTTCAACTTACGTTTCTTCCTCTGCCTTCGATTCCTCCGTTTACACTTCGACATTTTCTAACATTAAGAGTCCAAGTCTATATCTGTAAGAAGATAAAGTTGATAAAACCTTAGAGAAAATAATAAGAAGATAACAAATGGGTGTTACAGATAAATGTCCGGGAAAAAAGATAAGGCGAAAGCTCAAATTATTAGTTAGACATCAAAACAGCATGTGACTCCCAATTAGCATTGAAGAATATGAAATAAGAGTTGAACATGTTTACTGATTGCTAAAAATCAATAACAATGGCTCCAAATGAGCAGAAGGGAAATGAAAAGGTTTTAAATACAAGACTTTGTTGTCGATCTAACCAGCTAACCACATGTACCCTGACCTTCACCTTCAATTACACTACATGATTCTTTTGATGAATTTTAAGCACATAAAAAGCACTTGGGGAGTGGTTTTAGATAAAACAATTAATTAGTTTTCTTTCGAACGTGATTCCAAAACAAAACACTTTTTTTCAAATAGCATCCCAAAGTTACCCTAAATAGGAAAAGACACCAATAATTTGTGAATGTAAACGTGCATAAAGAAGCCCCCACATTTTGTGGATTATGATTTACTTCTTAAACATCAACCACCAACAAGTTAAATAAGGTCTACAGCTTGTCAGAAAGCGAAGAGAAAGGTTAAAGTATGAACCCCAGATTGCAGAATAAGTATAACAGTTCTTCAAAAATCCACGGATCCAACAACAATACTTGTGATCGAAAAATGTACAATGTTAATATTTGAGGTTGAAATAATCAATAGAGTAGAAGAGAGTAGAGTCCATATGGTGTTTCAATGATTTCCCAATCAGAATATTCAACATCCCAGATAAGAAATAAAATGCAATCGATGAAGCTGTGGAATGATGCATGCAATTACAGAAATGAATCGCTAAGCAAAGACTCGGTGCTTCAAATCGTCAATTATAGAAATACCTGAGAGGATTGGAATAGAACGAAGAGAAATCACGAACCTCAGACTTCGAGGGACGAAGAGGGGAAGTTTTCGTGACCCTTCAATCCGCTCGAGAAATCGACAGTTCTGGGCAAGATTCTTGACGCCACTGGACTCGCTTCTTGTGTGTCGGAGGGAAATATTTTTGACGCCAATGACTCGGCCGCGCTGCTCGCCGATTGAGAAGGGTGCCAAGAGAAAAACGGGACATTGGCTCAAATAAGTTGTCTTGAATGCTCAATAACCTCCTCTTCGATTTTGGGTGACCCCCTTTAATATTTAATTGAATTTAAAAGGAAATGAAATTACACTGTTACCTCTGTTTAAAAATCAAACCATTTTACCGGACGTCTCTTTCTCTTCTCATTCTCGGTTCAAAATCACTTCTGTTCTATCGTCTTCTCTATTCGAAATCGCTTTCGTTCATTTCCTTCTCTATTAATTTTTGTTCTTTTCCATTGATTTGAATGTTAGGGCTTCGATTTTCATCGTTGTTAAGGAGTTGAATGTTTTGTTTCTCCGCCGATTTTGTTTTTCGGTGTTTGGATGAATGAATACACGAATTACATTGCTTCGATTTAAATTTTGTTTCTCGTGTATTTCATGTTTTGAAAAATAGGAAAATTGTAGGAAAATTGATTACTGTTTGTGTGTTCCTTATTCTTATTTTTTAGTATATTATTATGTCAATTTTGAGGTATCTGTTTGTGAGGATGTGAGGTTTATTTGAAATATTTGTGGTGGGAGGTTGAAGAAGAAGGGCGAACTCGGGCGAAGTGAGATGAACCTCGAGTGAGGTTGAAGAAATTTGTTCTTTCGCTCAAGGTTTGTTAAGTTTCTGTCAAACTTCTTGTGAACAACCCGGGTGAGGTTGAGCCCGAGGTAATTGAAAGACACTCAACCTCGAGCGATGTTTGGAAGAAATTTCAAACATTGCTCAAGGTTCTAGGCCTCTGAAAAGTTTCCTAGGCGCAGTCTCGTCGGAGGTTGAGACTGAGGGCTTTTCCAGATGCTTAGAAACCTCCAGCGAGGATTAAAATTTGAAAGTCGCTCGAGAGTTTGTGCTCTCTATTATTTTTCTCGGGTTCGACCTCGGGCGAGGTTGAGCCCGAGGTATTCGGAAGAGGCTGAACCTCGAGGTAACCTTGAGGTTGAACATCTTTCAAATACCTCGGGCTAAACCTCGAGGTAACCTTGAGGTTGAGCCCGAGGTTACCTTGAGGTTGAGCCTCTTCAAATACCTCAGGCTTAACCTCGCCCGAGGTCGAACCTGAGAAAAATAACAGAGGCTTAACAAGAGTGACATTCCTTCTTCTTCTTCAACCTCCCACAGACCTCAATTTCAACAAAACAATAACAAAGGGAAAATCAACAAATAACATCGAACGAAAAAAAAAGTATAATCGGACAATGAAATCGATGGAAAAATACCTAAATAGATGCATTAACATTCATGTATTCGTTTGACGGAAAGAAAAAGTCGTTCAACTCCTCAACATACAAAAAACGAAGCCCTAATCATTCAAATCGATGGAACAATGGAAAAATTAAAAGAAACGAAACTAAGCTCGAAGATTAAATTAATTTCTTTCACTTTGTTTCAAAACGAATTGTCAAGAAAAAGGGGAGCGAAAACAGAGAGAAAGGGGGGCGAAGAGTTAGATTTTTTTAACAAAGAGGTAGTACTGTAATTTCACGTCTTTTTAAATTTAATTAAATATTAAAGTGTAATTTCACATCCTTTTAAATTTAATTAAATATTAAAGTTGCCAAAGGAATGAGCATTCTATAAACTTTTGAAAGTAATTTCCCGAGAAAAGCGTAGTTTTCTTTTCATTTTTTGTTTTGATAATTTTTTATTTTTGCGTCCTATCTATTCTATGTTTATTTCTTTTAATTTTAAAAATTTGTAAAGGCTCTCTTAAGGTAAAACAAACTCAATTTGAAAATATACGGCTTCAACCTTCTAGATTTATAGATATGGTAATCACGATATTACTAATAGATTATATTATTGATGAACGTCTATTAGTGATAAATTTATCGTTGATGGATTACCAATAATATAATTTATCATTTATAGATTAGTAGATGTAAACGAGTGATATACGATAAAATTAGAAACTATATATATAAAAAAAGAGTATTCAAATAGGCATGCACAAATTTTAAAATCATGACTACATACCTATGATTTAATATCTTACGAGTTTCATTGACAACAAAATGTAATATGATAGATCGTTGTTTTTTGATATTATTCAATTTTTGTGTAAGTTGACCTGAATACTCAAAGATATAAAAAAATTAAATTAAATTTCATATTTGCAACCTCATAATATTATATTGATGTATCTCATGTTTGTAAATATAACAGGTATAAATTAACAACCAGTTAAATTTCTGAATTTTTTTACACTAAATTCCTCAAATTTTTAATTTCGTGTCAAAGTGTCAACTATATTCATATATATGAACAAAAAATACAAAAATTTCATATCTAATCTTAATTATTAACTCTATCCTTAATCTTCTAAAATTTATGTAGAAAGCCTCTCCTTTAAGAAGACTATAGTATGTTTTGAAACTTTCATACTAAGAAAATTAGCCATCAATTTTAGATTGTTTAATTTTAGAATTAATGATTTTAGCAATTTTGTGAAAGTAATTTTTTACATAATTATTTTAAAGTGTGGTTACACACTTTTTGAAGTGATTTTTATATAATTACAAGTGATTTTTTGAAGTTTAAAGAGATAATTTGATATAAATTTGAGAGATTAAAAAATATTAGAGAGAAAAGTTTTTAAGAATGAGAGATGAAAATTTTAGAGATAGATGATTTAGATGTGAACTAACAATTCGGGGAGATGTTACATAAATTTTAGAGAAAAAATTAGATATAATAAACAAAATTAAAGATATGACACAGAATTTTATAAATAAGAAAGATAAAATTTATCAAAATTTAAGGTGGGATAGAAATATAAATTTAAAATTTTTATAAACACTTTTTCCTATTATTTTTTTTTTAACAAAAATCACTTGGGAATCACATTCCAAGTGATTGACTGGAAATCACTTGAGAATAACAGTCAAACATGTGTTATTCAAAGTGATATAGATTTTTTGTTTTTAGTATAAGATATGGGGTCGGGAGTTGAATTCATAATCTCTTGGTTGATGATACATATCAATTATAGCTGAAATATACTCGTTTTTGGCTAAAATAGTATAGATTATGACATTAGTGAGAGTCATGTTAAAATAACTTCAAAACATACTCTAGATTCGTGATTTAAAATGTTGATACTAAGTCTATGAACTTTTAGTTTTGTGTTTAATATATTTTTTTGTCAATCATTTATTTATTTTAGTTTAACATTTATACCACAACATGCCTTAACTGACATGAAATTACATCATTTTGAAATAACAGTTAAGTGTTAGCGTGACAGATTCAATGTACGGACTTATTATCCATAAAATTTAAGGTTAAATTTAAATTTAGTCCTTAAACTTGTAGAATCGTATCTAAAAGGTCTCTAAATTTTTTTAAAAATGTCTAACAAGTACATATTTATTAAATTTTATGTCTAATTGATCATGAACTTTAAAATGACCTTACTTTTAAATTTGTAACGTATAGATCATCGACACGTTAGAAACTTTTAAAATTATACACCATCACCTTTGACATTTCAATGACCTATTTGATACATAAAATTTTGTGAAGCTATTAGATATCTTCTAAAGTTTATAGCACTATTAAATATGATCATACGAGTTTAATAACTAAACTTGATGATTTACCTATTTATAAAAATTTTGTTTGCATACAAAATTTATTAGACACAGCCTTGTTCATTTATTTTTAATATTAACTTGATTTTTATTTTTTTATGTATCAATGTAACTCATTTAATCGTTTTTAATATGTCATATTCAGCATTATTCAACTAAATAAAATGTGTATTATCTCTCTTTCATAAATATTAGGGGTTTCAATGGAGTATGAATGCCCCAATTTTGCTTTAAACTATATATATATATTCCATAATAAAATATAAATTTTAATCATGTGACCCTCATTTAAACTTATATATATTTTTTAAAATAAATAACGACTACATGCAAGTATGATAATAATGGAGGGTTGGGATTGGGGAGTGGGGCGTGGGAGAAAGGAAACGACATGTCGCTATCCTCCTCCCTCAGCAATCATTTTGACCTTATCCCAAGTTGATTAAAAAAAAACAAAAAAAAAAATGCCGGGTTCCAATTTATCACGTAAACTAAAAATTTATTTCTTGTTTTCAGTTGAATCAATTTTGACCTAAAGATTTGCATGGTATGATTTAATAGCGAAAATCATGAAAATAATATTTTTATCTTTTCAGTATTTTCAGATTTTCAATTAGAATACATAACTACGTCGAAAATAGATAACTTTTTTTATAAATATATTATTTCATATTATAAACTCATTTCATTAAAAATATATATATATAAAATATAATATATTATAAATTATATAACATAGATTAAATTAAATATTTAGTTGATGTTACCAATAGTTTAAAAATGTATTGCTGAACAATTTTTAAATTGAGATTCAATTTCAAATCTGCTACCAAACACATATATAAAAATAATAAAAATAAAAAATACAACTATATTTTTCATTGAATCTCTTGTTTCTGATCGCCAACTAAGCCAGCCATAATTTTAGAAACTTGTTTAGTCAAGTCTTCCTTTTATGTGGATTCGTAGAGTCTAGTTCTTGAACGAAGGAATCGCTTTCAATGAAAATTTATCCCCTCAACCGGCTCCACTCCGAATCCCCCTTCACTAGGTATGGCCACCAGTTCACATTGTTGATTGGGTCTGGCCTTGCCGCAAGATAGGCAATAGGAACAAATGAGCCCAAATGAAATGGGATGAATTAAATTAATAAACTATTTTATTGATTCAGGGCGCCCCGGAAGGGGGCCTTCTTCGCCTTCCACCTAAGCTGTGCAGGAAAGCGTCTTAAATTTCACTTGTATTTTATCTCTCTCCCTCTACTTCCAACATCACATAATTAAGCACCAATTATCTTCTATAAAAGTTCTAACCTTCTATTTTTACATTTGTCGTACTACAAATATTTTTATCAGCGGGATGTTAGTTATAGGACGAAAAATGCTGCTCCACGTGTCACAGGGAGGTAGTACGCAAGCTAACTTGATCCAACTCGATAGTTTAGAAATAGCAGAACAAGAGTCGCAGAGACAGTTCAGAGCATCACATTATTCCTCTTTAACTCCTAAGCAGACAAAAGTCTCGATTTGGAAAAGAGCTTTGAAAACCGCTTAACTTCTCAATGATCATACGATATGCCTGATTTTCCAGGAGAGGAACCGTGGGCTACAACATCGACACACACATATATCGAAGGTAAAAGTAACATATTTTTGTTCCTAATATGCTTGAAGATTTAAAATTTGTAGCAAAAGAATATAAGTGGTCAAATTGGGTATGCTAGTTCCTTTTGGAAATTATTTTATAGACTAATTTGTTATAATTATTTTGTGTGGTTTTTAATTTTATATAATTTTCTATGATTGAAGAAACTTAGACCACATATGTATATTATATTGTGTTTGGTCATATCAAGGAGCCATGTGACCAGATAAATTCAATGCAAAAGTAAACAATTAACATGGGTTTGAAAAATAGAGCAACCATTGGTGAAATAATGTTAAAACAAAATAAATTAAAATTCTTATTTAGCTAAACTAATTTCATCCGTCATTGACTTAATTTGAAATTCCCTACGCTTATTTTTTTGGCAGAAGAAAAGTAATTAATACCCTCACGCAATATTTTTTTGTTTTACCCCGTCGAAAATAAGGATGTGAATAAAGAAAAAAAGGATAAAATTTACCAAAACTGATTCAATTAGGATAATAGATGCTGGTAGATTATTCAATTTCATAAACTAAAATATGAAAATGTAGTCAACCAGTTCGCTTTAATTTTGATTAAGTTGGTTAGTTTTTTTTTTAATTCCATATAAATATATATATAAATTGTAGTACTTGTTATGAAATCATATAGAAAGAAGAGGGATTAATAGAAAAAAAAAAGTATATGCCCACCGGAAATATATTTTCTCCCCGTCAAACGAAAGCGAGCTAATAGAATTTATATGGATCAAACTATACTCAAACAACTCAGAGAAATAATAGAACTAATGATTTATCTTCAAATACTTAGAAGTTAGAGAGCACCGTAATAGATTCATTGTAATATTCACATTAATAGTACAAAATCTGCACCGTATCTGCAAAAAATCTTGACCTTGAGGTAGTTTTGAGTTTGGGGTGAAGGTGAACCAATATATATTACGTGGTTAAAATTATTGATTTATATATCCTTATCTCGTATTTTATTTTGTCATTACTTTATTTATGATCTATTTCATATGTAGGGAAGGGATTAGTATGTTGGGTTTGTAAGGTGATTGCAAATAAAATCCCGTATTGGTTAAGAAATGGGGTGATCATGGACATATAAGTATTGCGATGACTCTACATATAAATAAAGTCGCGAGGACTATACCTAAAGTGGCGCTAATTATAGGATGGTGGGTGGATTTGAAGAAATTGTAGAATAAGGGTCAAGAATATGAGGCAGCTGCAGAAATCCATCTCATTTAGACATCACAAACCAAATCTCAACTTGTTTCACTTTCACACCCAAAGMCAAAGCGACCCAAGTGGAAATTAAAAAGTGGCCATATATGATATACAATTCAATTCAACTCAACTACTCCCAATTAAAAACCATTCCTTCTCATCTCTCTGCGTTGGTGTGAAATGGTGTTGAATAATAATAATCTG